AGAAGTCTCTGTCGAGACTGAAGCTCTACTGGTTTGTACTTATAATTAATGAAGAGAAAAGTGGAACTTGAAACTTTACATCAGCAATAAATAGAAAAATGATGCTTGATTGAGCTCTTTTTGTGACAAAACTACTGCTGTAGGGGTAGTTTTTATTACACTTTTACAGTATTTTCAATTAGGGATGTCAAAATTGTCAATAATTGATATTCGAATATTCGATAATACTATTCGAATATATTCGAATATTCGATAAAATAAATACATCTTGCATTATAATATGTATACATCTTCACTCTTTTGTCAAGCAATATACGTTTATGTCATTATTTTGAAATAAAATTTCACGCAGAGTTTTGTAAATGCACTATAATTACATGTATATTCTTAAAATATTTTACAGAATATATGAAGAGTTTACATCCAAAATATAATAAATAAATTTTCCCCCCAAAATTTAAAAGATTCTTTTAATAAGTTCCATTAATCATCTTACCAAAGTGTACACTGATAACCCTACAGATTTATACCACACAGAACAATTATCTAACGGAGAAACATTAAAAGCAATTACTCTAAGCTAATTAATTTCCTGATAATGATTTTAAATGATGTATACATAAACAAGAGATCCATGTGTGTTACTTAAAAAATGTGTCCTTTCAACAATACAAACTAATTCTAAGTACTGGACACAGTTATACCTCTAATTAAATGATCAAATGAATAAATTTTATCATTTTAATAGATAAACTTTTCACACCTTTAAGGTAATCCAAGAAGAATTCTTTTATTTTTGTTTTAAATAAAATCTTATTGTTGGTCAACGATAAGAATTTGATTCAATTTCTGATAAAACTTCAGTTTTTGCCAAGTTTTTTTTTTCTTTTTGATGCTTGTATACTTAAAATCCGAATATTCGAATCATAAATTTATATTCGAATATCAACTCAACGAATGAATATTCGAATATTCGTTGACATCCCTATTTTCAATTTAAGTAACCATTGCAGCACCCGTCATTGAAATCAAAAATCTATAAACAGAATAATGTATCTTAGTGTAGTCTACTTGTGTGCCAAGTTATATTGAAACCAGACCAAAACTATAGGAGGAGTAGCATTTTGAAAGTATTTCACAGAAATTTCTATGTTTAGTACTAGTATCCACGGCAACACCGTTCATCGAAATCAAAAACCGATATACAGAATTATGTATCTTAGTGACCATAGTCTACTTGTGTTCCAAGTTTTATTGAAATCAGACCAAAACTGTAGGAGGAGAAGCATTTTTGAAAAATTGTTTACAGACAGACAGACAGATGGAAGGACGCCGGACGCATAAGCTCTTCTGGTCTCTGACCAGCAGAGCTAAAAATGAATAAAATAATTCATCCTGTCTGTTTTTCAAATAAAAAACCTTTTGATTTCAAAATACTAAATTCAAAGTTTGCACTGTAAATCGTTGCAGTTACTTTCCAACGATGCCAAGGTCAATGACCTTGTGACCTTGACTGTGACCTATATACTAAAAATAGCTTTTTATTACCTCTGCCATAACCTTTGAATCATAAGCGATAGAGACTGCATATTTTGTATGCAAACTCCATTGATTAAGTTCTTTCAAACTGTACCAAGGTCAATGACCGTGAACTTGACTGTGACCTAGATGCTAGAAACAGCCTTTTTTAACCTTCGGTATAATGTTTAAACCATAAGAAATAAAGACTCCAAATCCAGTATCCTACTCCACTAATTAGGTTTTTTTTCAAATGACACCAGGGTCAATGACCTTGTGACTTTGACTGTGACTTATATGACAGAAATATCTTTTTTCAATTTTTTTTTTGCCGCATAGTGTTTCATAAACACATATTGTTTTAAATGTTACATGTCGTTGCTTTCAACTACATGTAATAATGTGAAGAAAAACAGTGACCTAAATCATAGGCACCTGACGTTACTTATTGTTCCCGCTTTCGCAAAAGAGAGGGGACATTATATCTCATTCGTCTGTCCATCTGTCAGTCTGCAGTGTGCCCGTCCATCACAAAAATTTTAACCTCGGTCATATCTTTCAAATGAGAATAGATAGGACTTCATATTACACATGTGGCAAGACCTTCTGTAATACACTATGATTATTGACCTCGTGACCTTGACCTTGAAAAAAATTTTGACCTGTGGTGATCAGTGGAAGGTCTTGTCACAAAGAATAAATATGTGAAGTAGGGTTGTCCTAGCTTCAACTGTTCAACATTTATGGCCAAAGTAAAAGTTTAAAATTTTGGTGTGAAAGTGTGTCAAACTCCAAGGTTAAGGTTAAGTCGTCAAATTTGGTGGTACCCAAAGAAAGGTCTTGTCAAAAAGAAATACACCTGTGCAAAATGAAACCCATAGTCCCGCCCAGTCAAAAGTTTGGGACGGTTTTTGCGGACAAACAAACAAACAAACAGACGGATGGACGTGGCAAAAACTACATACCGCAAAAACTTCGTTTTCGGGGGCATTTAAAATATACCCCCTACCTAATAATAAACTAGGTAGGGGGTTATTTTGTCCCCCGCTTTTGCAAAAGAGAGGGGTCATTAAATCTCATTCTACTGTCCGTCTGTTGGTCTGTACGTCCATCACAAAAACTTTAACCTTTGTCTCATCTTTTGAATGTGAAGAGATTGGGCTTTCATATTAGAGATGTCATTGTGTATTAAGTGTGACAACATCAATATGATTTTTATGACTATAACTTATGAATGAGAAGAGATAAGATTTTCATATTAAAGTGTATTACCTGTGACAAGTCCTTCCTTGTGACCTTGACCTTGAAGTTTGACCTACTTTTTAAAATCTTTAACCTTGGTCATATCTTTTGAATGAGAAGAGATATGACTTTCATATTACACATGTATATTACCTGTGACAAGGCCTTTATAAATATCCATGATTTTTGATCGTGTGACCTTGACATTGAAGTTTGACTTATTTTTCAAAATTCATAATTTTTTTTGCAATACCTGTGACAAGATATTTCCGAGCATGGTATGGTTTCTTTGACCTTGACCTTGAAGATTGACCTTATATAAAAAAAAAATTCAACTTCGGTGATTATTTCTATATGACATATGATAGTACATTCATATTTGACACAATATGTCTTCAAAATGACACCCACCCACAAAGACACCGAAAGCAGGGGACCACTTTTTTTAAATTTGCTTGTACTTTATGATTTGACATTTATTACAGGTCTCATCGACTCTCAGATTCATTGTTTCGTTTCCTATTGTATAACATATATAAAAACACAAAAAAAAACATCAACAACAACAAACAAAAACGGAAGGGGCCCCTCCTGTGTCCCATGGATCCCACAGGCATAATAAAACAATTATGTGATTTGTATACAGTGGGGTTTTTTTCACATTATAAATTTTGCAAAGAAATTGTGTCTTATAAGTAAATCTATATAGATTAGTGTTTTGACTTCATTTTCGTATTAGGTGAATAAATAAGAGGTCTCTTCACTCTTCCTCTGATATACATAATTAAATAACGAAAACAATTTGTTTTTGTATGTTCTGTAAACGATCGAAAATAGCATGAAAATCACTGTGTACATCATAATGAAATATTTTCACGTTTTTTTTATTATTCATCGTTGGGCCCTACCGTGTCCAAAATAATTCATACCTGCTTTCATCGTCCAATGCCAGTTTTGACTAACGGCGGGTGCGATCGGTGGGTCGACAGAGAAAGCTTACTCATTTTAGGCACCTGATCCAATTTCTGGTGTCTCCTGGGGTCGGTCGTGTTTTTGCATTATGTTCGACACATTTTTTTTTACTGTTTTTATAAGGGTGGATATACACTGTTCAATACCTTATCTTCAATTCTTACATATAAGAATGACATTTCTTTCCATTGAGAAGTTACACTGTGCTTGAGGGCAACTTCAGCGATGGGCGTTTTTCGGCAATTATAACACAATCGGCCATAAGTCTATAATTTCGTAGAGAAATAATGTAAATCTCTTCTCTTTTTTAAAACAAATCTATATAAAAAGAAAACCACTTATTATTAGTATTCGCGCAACTGTGAAAAGGGAGAAGGGTGATGTGTACAACTTTATTCATTTACTTGAATCAGTTACCGTTACACATATTGTAAATTATGTTTATTTTTCTTTGAAAAAAAGGAGAGAAAAAAATTCAGATTTTACTTGAAAGGAAAGAAGTTAATGTTCATCGAGGTGTTGTATAACCTTGTTACATCACATATTTTGTCAGTAGCCTGCATCAGTCATCCAATCGATGTGTTCAGAACAAGTACTACAGTATCAAATGTACATGTCAGTGACAGAGAAATATTTATTTACTCCAAGTTCATAAATAGGGGAAAATTAATGATTGTTTCATTGGTTACTAACTGTCCATATATCAAACTAACAATCCAAGTAAGAGTCTAATACGGCGGAGTCAAATATTCTCCAACAATATTCAATGATTAATCTAAATTCAGCTAAGTGAGCTCTTTTCCCATGCTTAATATATAAGTAAATTTATCATATCATATTTATAAGTCGATGAAAAACGGTTTATTTCCTTCATATAAAGTCACTATGACAAGAATGAAAATTATTGCTTAATATATTTTGTTTCCATAAAAGAACTGTCCATTCTACCCCGGTAATTAAAATTAGCTATTTCATTTCATTTTCAATTGTACTGAAAAATCGCCTTAATTACCATTAAATATAATAACATGTTGGGGCTTTCTTTAATTACTCTGCAGGTTCCTTTAAATGGCACTACTAATTAACTAATTGAACAATGTTCAGAGAAGTAATTTCACTTTGTACTTAGATTGATAATGGCTCAATGGTACTGAAGAAGTTGGAAATAAAAAAATTTGACAAACAACAATTGAAGATCAGCAAACTTTGAAAAAAAATTATTGACTTCATGGAGATTAAAATAAAAATATGATTTAAAAACTCTGAATCATAAATATTTATTCATTTAACACAGTTGCATCATAAAATATAATCATGCAAAATAACACAGTGGATGGATAATATATGAAAATGGATTTCTTAAAGAATGTCATATTTTACAAGTTAATGGAGTATAGATACTTCGTTACTGCAGAGTTTGAATAATAATACTTTACAATAGTACAGACTGAATAATAATACCTTATAATTGTAGAGATTGAATAAAAATAATTCACAATAGTAGAGGCAGAATACAGATACTAGACAACTGAGAGATAGAATAGAGACGTTTCACAACTGTAGAGATAAAAGGCCTGTTGAATGTTAATAAATACTTATTCTTAATAAAATCAGGAATTTGCTTCCAAATTGGGCTTCAATTGTAATTCCATTAATATTAAAAGATTTATCTAATATATAACTATAGATATATATTGGCATGACATACCTTTTTCAAATGCTTATATAAGAAACGGCATAATTAAATGTTCATTAAATAATGAGGTATACATTCAGAGTCTTTCAAAAAGAAGAAAAAACAACATAAAAATGCAATTGGTATTAATATAATACTCTGAAAGAAGTCTGCAGAAAATACAATTATGTATAACCATAATTATAGGCATCACATTTCAAATCACTGTCAACAGAAATTAAACTCAGAATATTAACCATGTACATGTATAAAGCAAAACTTAACAAAGGTATAGAAATAAATGCATTAATTAAGTTAAAGATTCCTGATAAAATTGTAAATATAGCATAAATTCATACACCTTGACATGATATTAAGTATGGTATAAATAAACACTGTACACATATATACATCCTGACATACATGTATAAATAGGAAATCACAATATTGTTCATCCGTTTTCAGCCTTTCAGGTGGAAGTCCTTACAAAAATTCACAGAGAAAAATGTGAAAGAGTTCATTATATAAGCATCTAAACTAAATGTCTATCTTTTGTAATGATACAAAATTGAGCATCACATTGATTGCATAAAACTGATGATGTCATAATGCATTAATTTAACAAATGTGACAAAAAAAGTGTCCAAGTGATTAACAAATGAAATTATGACACAACTGGACATAAATATTAGGGGTGTAACAATGTACTCAAAAAGGCAATACAAAAATGTTTTGTATACAAAAACTATATATGCCTTGACAACACTGTAAACCTATGTACCATAATTTGTTTTCATTTAAAGCAATTTATGCTATTTCTTTTTCATGTACTGTAACTAAATAAAAGTGATTTCATCTGTTCAGAACTTATTAACTGTTCCATAATGCATTTGAGAACTGACAAAAAAAAATCTTCACCTTTTATCTTTTCACACTATGACAGAGAATTTTTCATTTATGGACAGAGACACATAACTTAATAAATTACGAAAAGTGAAATATTTCAATACATAGGTATCATGATATATACCATCACACACTTTATCTTATCGTTACACCCCTAATGAATATTACATTAATTGAACACATAGGCACATGTTGCAGCACAAGTTACACATCAATGACTCGTCTGTCCTTAGGAAAACTAACTTGTTTGACCCCGGCCAGGTGTAGCAGGTCATTTATAGGAGTTTGATCTGTGGTACATTCACAAAGATGCATAAAGTGGACTTCATCTCCTGAAAATTAGGTAAAAATCAGCAGTGGTCAAAACTCAAAAATTTTATCTCATATATTTATACTGAATAACTTTCTCATGGCATCTGGAAAATTTGGCATTGCATCAACCATATTTTTTTTTCAAGAAATACATAGAAATTTCATTTTTTTTTTTAAACGTACCTGGTCCTAGGATATACTCTGCCCCTTGCTGTCGGACATCCCCCTGATATTCCTGGCTTTGCATGGCCCTCCATGTACTACTTAGAATTCCTGATATCATGTTATGCTTGAGGTGTTTATTATCTGAAAAGAATATCTTATGACAGTAAGGTTTCACATGAAGTTGGTGATCTACAGTTTATAAAGGTAACACAGTGAGGAAAGTTGTAAAATCATAGCAATCCATTTCCTCATTAGATGTAAACTGATCATGAGATTATTTTGTGAAAATTTCAAAAGAATTCAGTTCTGGAGATACCTTACATAGCAAAAACGATTACATTAGTTTTCATATTTTGCAAGCATAAAAGCATTGGATGTTGTTCTTACTTTTAGTATTCTTTCCATACTCTGGGTTGCTCTTCATTCCCAATAATTTATAAAGTTCTCTGTCTGGATCTGTGTACATGGTATACATATACCCCGTCTCTTTCTTGAAGGCCTGAAAAAAGGTACATGAGAACTTGTACAAACATTCTCTAAAACTGATCAATTTCATTACATTCTAAAAATCATTTTCTTTAAATATGTACTCCAAAATCTTGATTTTAACTGTAACTCAGTAGAAAAAGACCCTTTTTCAGACTTGTCGAAATCCGTCGGTCCTGTCAGCAAAGCTGGTAAAAATTTGTCTGGACTGATAACTTTTAAGAAAATGTCAGTCCAGATGACCGTTTGAAAAAAAAATCCAGCGTGATGCAAATTTAATAAAGGTAGGGATAGGGATGCGTAGCTGGTCACAAATACAGAAAAAATGGCCGTGTACGCAGTGTGTTGACGATATTAAATTAAATTTGTTTTAGCAAAGTCATAAAACATGTCATTTATGTGTATTGTTAAAGACTCTCAATCTCAAGGAAGGAAACTTGTAAGATTGAAGGCTGTTGAAAATAATAATGGGCATTTAAATGCCATTATTTATATGACTTTCTCAGCGTCACAATTTTTGAATTAGGTATATGATGAACCCTGTCAGAAAAAAAACTTTGACTGGTCCGACAGAACATTCGACTTTGTCAGACCAAATGTCTGACAGTGATTGAAAAATTTCGACAAGTCTGCAATTTCTTTAGATGGCAGTTTGTGCATGTGTGTGTTTGTATGTGTATGTTGGTCTGTAGAATGGGTGAAAAGGTGAGCTATTAACAAAGTTAAATATCTGTATCTCAAACACTGATACCTCAAAATTCATGAATATTCAAAGAGGTATGATTTTTTGAATAAAAAAACTTTTTTTCATTATTACATACCAAACAATGGCAAAGATATAGCAAACACTTACACTTATAAACTTGTCAGGAGCAGGACCAATCACAACTACTCTCACACCAGCTTCCTATAAAAATGTATTTGTATATCAATGATACATGTATATGTTACCAAAAAAAAAAGGATTCTTCATCTAAATTATTGTCATAATATTATCATATTAAGGAGTATAAGAATGATGTATTGTATTTTCATTAGAAATTTTGCATTACAAAAAAAATCATCAAAATATACCTGTAGATATTCTAATGGAACCTTGGCTAAATCTGAAAAAAAAAAATAGGTATAATAAAAGATACATACGAGGGGTGATCAAAAAGTTCGCAAACTAATTGAATAACTTCCATACAAGAAACAATATTTGGTTTTAATGTTGATTATATTCTAAATTAATCCTCCCCGATTTTAATGCATATCAACCACCATTCTGCCCATGCGCGAATCACGTGATATTGGCGGTCACGTGACCCCCTCTGTAGCGTTCTGTCAGAAAAGTTAAAAGATTTTTCCGAGTTTTATATTTCTTTCCATGTGAGTTAATTTTTATGACAAGAACAGTTAATTTGTCAGAAATGGTCATATCTCTGCAACAGAATGGGTGGATAATAACATCCTTTCCAAAAATAAGCATAGCGACCATTAAAACACAAATCTTCTGTCTCAGGAGAGACCTTTATTCAAGGTGGATAGAGAATGGGTGCATCCTTTTTATCATCTCTAATATGTTTAAAATCTAAAGTAAACGATATCTTAGGTATTTAATACTTATATCATTGTTCAAATATTCAACTATTTTTTCAAAGTGCTAATTGCAGGTCTTTGATAGCAAATTGCTTAATTAAAAATACATATCTTTTCAAACTTGCTTTCACTGGGCAAGATGAAAAGTATCATTTTTAACCATCAGCCTTCCTTCACTAAAACGAATAATCCAATCATTAATTGAATTTATAGGAACTCAATTATCTCAATAAACTGTGTACAAATTATTATATGATACTGTAGAGGGATTTCTAAGATATTACAATAAATTGTACAGTCGTTTGGTGAACGAGTTCGACTGAGACAACCATTTTTCATCACAAGTGACCTAAATAGTGACGTCATTTTCGCACTGTGACGTCACAAACAAGGAGAGAAACTTTATTCAGCATATGCTATTTATAGACCTTGTGTATGGCTATGTGTGTACCGAATTTCATTCTAATCTGAATTGTGGTTTTGTAGATATAGAGATAGTTTGCGAACTTTTTGATCACCCCTCGTAATTAATCCACTAAAAATGTTTCGAATATATGGGATCATTACCAAAATCTTATCAATGCTTATATACATCAATTTGAAAGCTGTTCTTCCACATGTTTTATTTATCTCCATAGTTGCTTACCTTCAATGTAGTCTTTGCACACAAAGCACAGGAAATGCTGCAATGAAATAACAGAATGATTAACAATGATGAATAGGAGAACAAATTTTTAAGATATCACTTTCCTGATCCGATTTTCAAACTTGAAAATCCACCCTGAAAGTGAATAGATGATGATAATATGCAGGCAATGAAACATAACTCACCCTTGTGAAAATGACTATCGTTTTCTGGTGTTTGTAGATATCACCAAACTTTATTTTGTTGCCTCCTTCATCCAAGACAAACTTTTCTTTCGCTTTTGTAAAGTTGAATTTGAAGTCACATGGTTCTGGTTTTTCTCCTCTTGACATTTGTAAATCATCTATTTCTTCTGTAACCTGAGTTTCTTCATTTTCCTCCACCTTCGACATTTTGTCAAGCCTAACGTGTTTCGTCTAGTTCAGCAATCAAACTTGCAATGTTTGCTGTCGATACCAAATCAATGTCATGAAAACGCTGGAACAGACAAGTATGATTAAAGCCCATATTAAGCGTTTTATGGAACCATCACTAGAGTAACATTCAAACAAAAACGTATTTATATCCGGAATTCTAAGCTTTAATTTTTAAGTTTTAATTTTTAATTAAAACAAAGGCCTACAATATCGACATCAAATTATTTCAAGGTATTCAATTGATGTTTAACGACGATATTTTGTACCTAAATAAATTTGGTCCGAGATGATTAATTAATGGTAGCATGTTGAAGGTGATATGAAATGATAAACATAGGCCTACCGGTGTAACGTTGAATATTGACCCCAGTTGAAAATTGACCCGAGGTTCAATTTTCAACGTTGAATATTGAACCAAGGGTGTTTTTTCTCCGTTGAAAATTGAGACCAAAAGTCGTTGAATTTTTACCCGGGGTCATTTTTCAACAGCTTGATGATTTTTGTTCTTATCCCCGATGACCTCAACAAGTTGAAAATTGACCCTGTTGAATATTGACCCCACCTCAGAGTTTGAACATTTTTTGAACTGGGAAATTGTTTTACGGGATTTATCAGTATCTCTATATTTATATTTCGGTTTCAATTTTTTTCCCTTTTCAAGAATAATAGAAATAAACCTATCATCCCGTGTATATATGTACATTTTGATCAGTAAACGATTTCAGTTATCTTCAAGCATAACAACGTTATTCTATGACAATACTTTTTAAAACCCACAGCCATAAATAATAACTACAAAACTACGAATAGGACATAAAACAAAAATCCTGGAAATCTGGTGTCTAGAAAGTGAGCCCTATATAATATTATATTGATCAGGTGGGCAGAATATCCCATCTAGTCAAATTCAGTATAAAAATTAATAAAACTAGAGGTACTGTGAGCAATGAGCTCACTAAATGATACCCCCGCCTCCCATATGAATATAATGGCAGTGTCCATGTTTTGCTCTGGAAAATCAAAAATATTTGTCAGATCAAAAAGTAAAATAGGAGGTGCACAATGGCAATATGTAATTAAAAATCTGTGAAAGTTTCATTAAATTTCCTTCAGTGGTATGAGAGGAGTTGCGAATAAGAGGTGGGTACCCCAAAGCGTAACAGACGGACGGACGGAAATACCGACTTTTCAAGCGGGGGGTATAATTAAAAGCCTAAAAATTAGAATGAAACACATCGGTCAAAATGAATCCAATGATAGGTTACATTTGTGAAAAGATCAATGTAGCGACCATAACATGTAGGTAATGCTGCCTTTAAACAAGGTTGGTGAAATCCCTGTAACAATCTTATCTGTCAGTAGCCTGTTTCGGCCCCAAAAATCGATCGTTTCCGGATCATTTAATTTTGGCATTATTAGCGAGGCTGTTGAGATCGCTAAAATTCAATACCGCTAAAAATAAATTGCGTGTTATATGTACTAGCTTATTATGTTAGCATTTTAAAATCGCTAAAATTACTTCTCGCTAAAAATAAAATACCAGTTTTTAAGGAGAAATCGCTAAAGGAGAAATCGCCAAATTTGCGTCTCCCTAAAATTTCCACTTATACGGTATATATGGTTCTAATCCCAAAAAGGGGAGATCACCCACCCCCACCCCTCACCCCCACCATTTCCATCTTCTACTTAACAAAATATATATGTATTAATTGTGAGGTTCGTTCTTGAACTGTTTGATTAACTATGCGAAAAAGATCACTAAACCTTTTATTTTGAAAAAAAATCCGTTTTTCAAGTTGGACATTATAAGTTATTAATGTTGTGCATAACTAAATAAGCATTAAAACGTACGTGCATCATGCGTTAAACTCTCACCATTTCCCAAATACTAATATTACGAATTTTAAAATTATAATAAATGAAGTGTTGTTAGCAACAACAAAAAATATAGATAAAGAAATTTCTGAACTAAATTGTATATTGTGTAACTATGTTTACTAATATTCAGGATTTACTTATACATATGTTCTTCTTTTTAAATAAATATTACACAAAATATTGCGATTTTAAGCTACATGTAACTTTGAAATCTAAGATATTTTTGTTAATATTTTATTCTAAAAATATAACTGAGTTACTGAATTAACTGTGCATTGATTACACAGTGGTGTCGGAAGCAAATTGAAATTGCGGGGGGGGGGGGGGGGGGGAGTCTAATTGAAAAAGAAAAAATAATTCAAATCTGAAAAAAATTGAAAAGAAAAAGAAAAAAGAAAAAGAAAATTTGTCCATTATCCACACTAATAGTCCATACCCGAAAATCCTATTTTTTTTGGGGGGGGGAGTGGTAGGGGGAGGAGGATCCAATTTTTTTTCAAGCACTACAACTTACTTCTTTCTTTGACTACACTGTAACGTGCCTGTTAAAAGAGTGGGGGGGGGGGGGGCTAAACCAATTCCACATTGTTCAATGCCTATATTATGTCTATCTTTGCAACAAAAAAAAGTAAGCATCCCTAGCCCCCCTCCCCTTCCCGACGCCTATGGATTATATCACAGTTGTGAAAACCAAGTCATAAATACGTGTTTTAATGCTGTTGAATTTAGAACCGGTTTCATGATCAAAAATCCACGACCCGGCTCAGTTTTCAACGGACTAGGGTCTAAATTCAACTCCTTTGGTCTCACAATTCAACGTTGGTAAATGACCCCTCGGGTCAATTTTCAACCCGGGTCAAAATTCAACGTTACACCGGCTCCACCATTGGAATTTACAAAATTTTATGGGTTTGAATTCCTATAAAAAAGAATTGTCAGATGAGTCAAAACATTGATGCTATACTCTCGATTATAAATTTTGAATAATTTCCTTCAGTGTTTTGGACATGTCATATCCAAGTATCTCAATTCACGCACCTACCGATTTTCTGTATAATATTAGGACATATAATTTAAAAAGCATTTCACACAAAAATATATTACAAGTTTTATTTCATCTATAAGTTATCAAAACTTCAAATTTTTAGACGGGTTTGATTGACACATCCTTGCACTTTCACAAATTTTACCCCGTGGTGATCCGGGTTAGAATAGGTCCTCAGTACCCCCTTGCTTGTCGTAAAAGGCGACCAAATGGGGCGGTCCTTCGGATGAGACCGTATAAACCGAGGCCCCGTGTCACAGCAGGTGTGGCACGATAAAGATCCCTCCCTGCTCAAAGGCCGTAAGTGCCAAGCATAGGCATAAATTTGCAGCCCTTCACCGGCAATGGTGACGTCTCCATATCAGTGAAATATTCTGGAGAGGGACGTTAAACAGTATACAATCAATCAATCATCACAAATTTTAATTTTATTCTTAATACCTAGGAAAAGTGGCAATCTTGTTGTGTATAAATAAAAAATATTAAAACTATAATCCATAAAATTCAGAGTAGCAATGTTCGAAAACTTAACATACATACAGTACATGTATATTGTCAGTCCATGCAGTTGTGGTGAGCAGACTTTAACAATTGAACGGTTAACAAGATCACCACTTTATTATACCCCCCCCCCCCGCTTGAAAAGTGGGAGGGTATATAGTAATCGGTATTTCCGTCCGTCCGTCTGTTACGCTTAGGGGTACCCATCTCTTATCCTCTCATACCACTGAAGGAAAGAATGGGTGGACTTAACGCCCTATTTTGGATCTTTTTGAGACTACTCTAACAAGTTGAAAATAAAGTGAATCCAAAATATATTACCACCACTAGAAAGAGCGATGTATACATGGTTATTTTAGCTAGAACATATATACAAAAGCAATGCCTTAATGCCATGAATCAAAATTGAAACAAGGTTACATTATTGTCGTCTTCCGGAATTTGACATGTACCCGGAGTGGTTTTTAGGTCGCGCTTTGAATATGAATAGGAGGCGGGGCTATCGATCGGTATCATTGTTGACATTTTTCTCTCTCTCCATCTCTCTCTCTATAAATTCGAATACGTGTTTGGAATATTACAGCGATATCATTATGATTTTTTTTAAATGTGAGGACACGCCAAATGAAAACAACATTTAATGTGCTAAATTCTGAAAACGGCACCAAACATAGTGATTTACATCTAGGTCAGGTTGAAGAAAACAATGTAACTGTTTCCACGAGTACACTCGCAGGTGGACATCACGTGATGAATTGTAATATTTAACAGGTCAATCGAAGTCGTAACAATGGAAGAGAGAAGTTCGTTTGGAACATGTTTTTATTTAAATTAAGTGTGAGCGCACGTTTGTCGGCTCTTCTCCTTTTAATATGACATTATTTTGTTCAATATACAACTACAGTTTTCGTAAGAACAGCCGACAAACATGCGCTGACTATGTATTCAGACGATGAAAAATGCGTGAACCTGATTATCTATTGATATTCAACAAATCTTGAGGCACCATGCCTTCAATATTTATTTAGTTTACCTCGAAAAGAGCATTTTAAATTCACATCCGTACCAATAATACACAGTTAAGATATCGGGGGTTTATATAATGGAAAAAAATTAACATTTTATGGAACTTAAATTTGCAGCATTTTTTCTGGCTAGTTAAGTCCACCCATTCTTTATTGAAACTTTCATAGAATCTTCATTACATATTGCCATTGTGCACCTCCTATTTTACTTTTTGATCTGACATACATTTTGGATTTATAATGAAACTTTCACAGAATCTTCATTACATATTGCCATTGTGCACCTCCTATTTTACTTTTTGATCTGACATATATTTTGGATTTTCCAGAGCAAAACATGGACACTGCCATTATATTCATATGGGAGGCGGGTGGTATCATTTAGTGAGCTCATTGCTCACAGTACCTCTAGTTTTTCTTTAGTATAAAGAATAAAAGAAAAAGAAAAAACATAAATTGCTTTAAATGAAAACTAGAGGTACTGTGAGCGATGAGCTCACTAAATGATACTCCCGCCTCCCATATGGTTATAACTGGTGAAAAAGTCCATGTTTTCCTGTGGCCGGAAAACCCAAAATATGTGTTGGATCAAAAAGT